TTAATAACTGAAGATATATAACGTGCATCTAAGACTCCTGGTTATTTGAGCTTCTTGAAGTACTTTATACATCCAACTAACAGTCTTAATTCAGAACCAGGAATGACATGTTTAGGTTAGAGTTAGATACTGATTTCTAGATAGGAAGCTTAGTAATTGTTGCTACATACTGATGCAAATCAGAATAGTTCTTTGTATCCAGAGCCTGAACAAAAGAGACAGTGGTGAGACGGTGAGTTGATTACTTCTTACTGTTTCACCACTGGCTCTTTGGTTCAGGTTAACAATGTATCTCACCTAGATTATATTAACAGCTTTCTAATTAGTCTCCCTGCTTTTGTTCTTTCTTACCTGTGGTCATAACTCAGCAGTGGGAATGATGACGTCAGGCAGAAGGGAACTTATCCAGTAGCTTCTGATCTCACTCAGTAAAAGACAAGAGTTCTTCAAGGGGCCTACAGGTAGTGATGATAAACTGGCTCTCTGGAGGGGGAAAAGGTTCTGATTTGTAGCATTTGCCTGTTTTACTGGTAAAATTACGCCCACTCTGGCTGATTCAAAGTTCTAGAATGTACAGCAATCTGCTCTCTAGCCAGTATTGGCTTGAGCACATCACTGTTGAACATTTGGCTCCCTGTGACTTCCATCTGCTGCCACTTTCCCTCTTGCCCACTCCATTTTGTGATACTGACCTCCTTGCTATTCCTCAAACATGCTGAACATGCACCTACCTCATAGGATTTTTGCATTGCAGTTTTCTATCATTAGAATGCTTTTCTCCTGAATATATGCAGGTTTTCTTATTTCTTATCCCTCTCAAGTCTCTGCTCAAATCTTATATTCTCAGTAAGGTCTTCCATGATCTCCCTACATGAAATTTTTGTTTTATTGGTTGTTCTGAGATGATTTTAATATACACTACAGTGTTTTTGTACTCGTCTAGTGCCTTGCTGTAGTGATGCATTACAGCTATTTCTAGGCAGTGTCATCTGTGGGTGGGGATAATGGTTATATTTGTTGTTGAAACTTAAAAAGAATCATTTCATTTTGTTTGAAACAAAAATATCTGTGATACATGTAAACAGATCAGTTTGGGTCTCTTATTGGTAATTGCAACTTGAATTACTATCCACTTAAGCTCATTATGGGGAATACAACAATATTTATGGTTAAGTGTACTTTTGGTAGTATATTGTTCTCACAGTAACATCATTGTGGGTTTGAAGATCTGTGCTAAGTTATGAAACAATGGAATTTATACACTTTATTTAAAGATAAATTGGATTTATAAGGAATTCTTGGTATAAATATTAAAATGTATCAATTAGTATAACATACTGATTTATTATAATTAAAAAAAGGTGTGGGCATCTGAATCCCAGCTATTCGGGAGGCTGAGGCAGGAGAATCACTTGAACCTGGGAGGCGGAGATTGCAGTGAGCAGAGATTGCGCCTTTGCACTCCAGCGTGGGCAACAAGAGCGAAACTCCATCAAAAAAAAAAAAAAAAAAGAGTATATGACTTCTTATGAACTAGATGCCACCTTTTCCCCTTAATCTCAGCTGTTTTTTTTCTTTTCTATTTTACCAAGGAACTTTAACCTTCCGCTTGACTTAATCTAGGCATAGCCAACATTACAATGAGGTAACAAGATTGAGTTGTAGTTATTGCCACTTTTTTCTTTCTTTTTTTTTTTAACATTTAACTATTTTTACAAGCAAAATTCTAGTGTAACCAGAGTTGAAAACATGATAGCTATAATTACTTTTTAAAAATTAATTTTTCAAGATTAATTTCGATAACCCATTTTTGGGGGGAGTTTGATTTATAAATCAAAGAAGAGAGTAGCTTGCACTGAAAGTTGCTACTTCTTCCTGTTAGATGATTAAGAAATAGAGACAAAGTCTGTTTCTTTTTTTTATGAGACCTTTTGTTACTTTCTTGGGTGACATTTTAACTAAAATTTGCATTATTTCTTTTCTCAAGACTATTGAACATGGGAGAAAAAGTCTCTTTTTCTTATCAAAGCTTAATTTCCTTTGTTCTGTTACTGTTATGTTTAGAAAATGTTTATTTTTGGCCAGGCGCGGTGGCTCACGCCTGTAATCCCAGCACTTTGGGAGGCCGAGGCAGGCAGATCACGAGGTCAGGATTGATCAAGACCATCCTGGCTAACATGGTGAAACCCTATCTCAACTAAAGATACAAAAGATTAGCCGGTTGTGGTGGCGGGCGCCTGTAGTCCCAGCAACTCGGGAGGCTGAGGCAGGAGAATGGTGTGAACCTGGGAGGCGGAGTTTGCAGTGAGCCAAGATTGGGCCAGTGTACTCCAGCCTGGTTGACAGAGTGAGATTCCATCTTAAAAAAAAGAAAATGTTTATTTTCTAGTCTTTTTTTTGCAGTTGAGTTTTTAAAAATTACCAAATTTGTCAGAACAGAGATTAAATTAATAAACTTAGTTTTCTGTTCATATATATGATGCTATGATTCTTATTTTTTCTAACATACTCAGAATCATTCATTTTTTAAAAATTTCTATTTTAAAAGTACTAAATATTTTGTCATAGAAAATTGAGATGTATAGAAAAATGGAAGAAAGAAGTGCTACTCAGAGACAACTATTGTTAACATTTTTATGTATTTCCTTCTAGACATTTTTTAATGGAATTCATCTTGCTTTGATAAAAGAATAGGTCATCTTTATATACAACATAAAACCATATAACTTACCATTGAAGATGACTCAAGGAAGAAAAAAACCCATGTAACTATATTTTGCTTTTTTTGCTCAGCATTATACAAAATATTTAACAAACTTGTCATACATATTTAATGGCAGCATTATATTCCAGAGTGGCTCTATCAGTAATTTGTTCTTGCAACATGCTTTTCAAAATATATTTTATTTTTGCTAGCACATTTGAGAATTTTAAAGGTAAACATTCTTTCCTCATTTTCACCTGATGATTTTTGTAGTTTGTTGCTCTGCAAATAGATTAGGTTACCTCCCTGACCGTGTTCTTCTGCACTCACAGGTAACAGCCACAAATTGTAATAATGCTATTCAGAACATCCTTAGAAGTTCATCTGTTTCAGATGGTATCTTCGAGAACTTTTAACACAAACTGTCAGATTCTTCTAAGGTCACTGGAAAGCCCATCCTTTTGTCTCTAGATTTGCTCATCAAGAATGTTAAGAAATAGCTTATGATTCTTTAATATAGAAGATATAGTATACTTTAAAAAAATCAATTCCCTGTTACACATGTATGTTGTTTCCAGTCTTTTACAGTTATTTGCATTGCTATGGTGAATAACCTTGTGCATTCATCATTGCTTGTGTATGAGTTTATAGAATGTATTCCTTAAAGTAGAATGTATTAGAATTACTATCTGCTTACGTCTTTGCCAACACAATGTGGTACTAAACTTTCTGACTGGTGAAAAAGTGGTATCTCAATGAAGCTTTAATATATTTTTCTTGTATAAGTGAAATTGAGCATCTTTTAAAAGTACTGTCTTTCCCTTTGCTGTGAACTAAAACTCATGTTCCTTAACTCTTGTAGAGATGTTGGTTTTTTCTTTGTAATTTGTGGGAGTTCTTTGTATATTAGGGAAACTAATCCTTTGTAATTTTAGCTGCATTTCTACCCCCCACCCCCAAGTTTGTCACTTTTTAACATTTTAAGTCCCTTAAGTCTGAATCTGGACATTCAACTCTTAGGCACATTTAAAGGGCTGTGTTACATATGAAAGTAGGGAACTACCTGTAAATGTTGCCAAGTAAACACAGTACTAGTCTTGAACATATTTGAAGACAACTATGTGGATGAAGGTTAGATTAGATTCATTCTTTTTCTTTATGGAGAAGCAAATTACAGCTCAGCATATGGAATAATTTTCTCTCATTAGATCAGCTTCAAAATGGAATGGAAATCCTTTGGAATAGATGGATTATTTGTACTAGATTTTTTTATTGGAAAGGAGATGCCAACCTTTTTCCGAGTTCATTGCACAAAATAAGCACTTAGTGTTGAATAAGTGAATCTTTGGGGCATCTGGATGGTTGGATTAGCTGGTTTTTAATAACTTTCATACTGTGTTTACTTTTTTATTTTTTTGAAACAAGGTCTCATGTGGTCATCCAGGCTATAGTGCAGTGGTGTGAGCATGGCTTACTCTCCTGAGCCTTGACTTCCTGGGTGCAGGGAATCCTCCCACCTCGGCCTCTCCAAGTAGCTGGGTCTACATACACACACCACCACATCTGGCTAATTTTTTTTTTCTTTTGAGACGGAGTTTCACTCTGTCGCCCAGGGTGGAGTGCAGTGGTGCGATCTTGGCTCACTGCAAGCTCCGCCATTCTCCTGCCTCAGCCTCCCGAGTAGCCATTCTCCTGCCTCAGCCTCCCGAGTAGCTGGGACTACAGGCGCCCGCCACCACGCCCGGCTAATTTTTTGTCTTTTTTAGTAGAAATGGGGTTTCACTGTGTTATCCAGGATGGTTGCAATATCCTGACTTCGTGATCCGCCTGCCTTGGCCTCCCACAGTGCTGGGATTACAGGCGTGAGCCACTGCGCCTGCCCCACACCTGGCTAATTTAAAAACTTTTTTATAGAGATAGAGTCCTACTACGTTGCCTAAGCTGGTCTCTAACTCCTGATCTCAAGTGATCCTCCCACCTGGGCCTCTGAAAGTGTTGGGATTACAGTTGTGAGCCATTGTGCCTGGCTCATACTATTTTCGTTTAAAAAATATTTTAAATGAAATGTAAGCCAGGCGCGGTGGCTCACGCCTGTAATCCCAGCACTTTGGGAGGCTGAGGTGGGTGGATCACCTGAGGTCAGGAGTTCGAGACCAGCCTGACCAACATGGTGAAACCCCGTCTCTACTAAAATACAAAAACTAGTTGGGTGTGGTGGTGGGCACCTGTAATCTCAGCTACTCAGGAGACTGAGGCAGGAGAATTGCTTGAACCCAGGAGGCGGAGGTTGCAGTGAGCCAAGATCACGCCATTATGCTCCAGCCTAGGCAACAAGAGTGAAACTCTGTCTCAAAAAAAAAAAAAATTAATCTATATGTTCATACATATTGCCTTTCATATAACTAAAATCAAATTTCTTTCTTCCTTTCTTGCCTGGTTCTCTCTCCTTCCCATTTTGTTCCAAGATAACCATGTCGTATATATATCCTTCCATATTTTTCCTCATACTTGCATGATTATCCTATCTGTTTTTGTTTATTTATATATTTTAAGATAGGATCTTGCTTTGTTGCCAGGCTGGTCTTGAACTCCTGGGATCAAAGGATCCTCCCACCTCAGCCTAGTATCTGGAAATTATTCTAATAGACTAGAAGGTAAATGGAGTTGAGACGAATTTTAATGTGTGGCTTTGGGGATGGCGGTTGGAAAGTAAAGGCCATTTTGGCAATAGATTTTTATCTTTAAAGTGAATATCCACTTGGTTGCAAGAGGATTAATTATAGGAATCTCTTCCTCTTGTAGTCTCTCAGCTTGAACAGATAAATATAGAGCACCAGTGCTCAGAGAGGGAATGCTGTAGAGAACGTGTGGGTAGCTGCTGTAGTTTTACACAGCAGATAACATCTAGAATAAAGAACAGATGAAAATACTCATTGAGGATTAGCGTTCTTGAAACATCATCAAATGGAACATTCCCCAAGCCTAGCATTCAGAGCCATTCATAATCTTGCTCATCTTGCATGTCTGATAATATCTCCTATCGAGCCCAACATACTTTTCCCTAATCCCACTTTACTCGCTGCCTGCTGCATTCATTCCTAGTGCCAGACATTTGTTTTATCCTTTCGAAGATACATCTCTGCCTTTCTACATTCCTGATTACAATCTGTCTTTTCAGTACTCCACTCAAGTGTCACCGCCTTCATGAAGCCTCTTTGCTTTCTCTAGACCACATTGATCCTTTTTATCTCTTAACTCCTAGAGTACTGATACTTTGAATTCTTCGTATTGGTTCCCGAGTATGTATTTGTGTAGCAGTAGGAAGTGTTTTTTGAGTGCCTCTTGTATGGGAAGCACTATGGTAAATATTGGGTTTATAGGAATGAACACGACAGATAATGTCCCTGTCCTTAAGAAGTTTTATATTCTTGTGGGGAGAGACAGCTAATAAATAATTAACAAGAAAATATCAGTAAGAATCTGATGAAAAAATGTATGAAGAATGAATCAGAGCTCTTAGTTGAAACGGCAAAGCCCAGTAGTTTATTTAAGCAGAATTAAAAAAAAAAAATTTTTTTTTAAAATCTAATAAGATAGCTCACAGAATCTTCACGGATGCCAGAGAATCAGTCTTGGCGTCTACTTAGCTAGGAAAAATGCCCAAATTATACCACTGGACCAAATCATTGGAGACTACTGCTTTTGCCACTGGGAATAGGTATTAGAACTTGTAACTGTTTGTGCTGAGTGTGAGATGCCACTGCTAGGACCTCTGCTATTTCTGCTTCTGAAAGAATGCTGATATAACTCTGAAATGTTCTTTAGAATGGATTTCACATGGCGTTTCCATTATATCACTTGCCTCCTAATGAATATCATGTGAATGTGTTTTATTGGCATAATATAGGTCAATTACCTGCTCCCGGTTTGCAAGACAGGATGGGTAACTGAATTTCTGACTTTTATTTTGAGGAGGTAGGATTTAAGGGATGAGAAATTCGCCAAACAAGAAAGGCTGTTTAAAGGTACTGAATACTTAACTAGTTGATTATTAATAAACTATGGGAAATTTGATACAGTGGAGTGATTGGAGGATTAATTTAGATTTGAGTAGTCAGAGAAGATTTCTCTAAGTTCATGATACTTAAGCTGAGACATATATGACAAGGGGAAATCCATGTAAAGATACGGGTGAAGAGGAACAATACAGTCAGGATGGCTAAAGGTGACTTCAAGAAACCAAAGGGCAAGATGTCTGCTTATGCCTTCTTTGTGCAGATGTGCAGAGAAGAACATAAGAAGAAAAACCCAGAGGTCCCTGTCAATTTTGCAGAAGTTTCCAAGAAGTGCTCTGAGAGGTAGAAGATGATGTCTGGGAAAGAGAAATCTAAATTTGATGAAATGGCAAAGGCGGATAAAGTGCGCTATGATCGGGAAATGAAGGATTATGGACCAGCTAAGGGAGGCAAGAAGAAGGAGGATCCTAATGCTGCCAAAAGGCCGCCGTCTGGATTCTTCCTGTTCTGTTCAGAATTCCGCCCCAAGATCAAATCCACAAACCCCGGCATCTCTATTGGAGACATGGCAAAAAAGCTGGGTGAGATGTGGAAGAATTTAAATGACAGTGAAAAGCAGCCTTACATCACTAAGGCAGCAAAGCTGAAGGAGAAGTATGAGAAGGATGTTGCTGACTTTAAGTCAAAAGGAAAGTTTGATGGTGCAAAGGGTCCTGCTAAAGTTGCCTGGAAAAAGGTGGAAGAGGAAGATGAAGAAGAGGAGGAGGAAGAAGAGGAGGAGGAGGAGGAGGATGAATGAAGAAACTGTTTATCTGTCTCCTTGTGAATACTTAGAGTAGGGGAGCACGATAATTGACACATCTCTTATTTGAGAAGTGTCTGTTGCCCTCACTAGGTTTAATTACAAAATTTGATCATGATCATATTGTAGTCTCTCAAAGTGCTCTAGAAATTGTCATTGGTTTACATGAAGTGGCCATGGGTGTCTGGAGCACCCTGAAACTGTATCAAAGTTGTAGTGTCCATATTTCCAACATTTTTAAATGAAAGACCCTCTTTCCTTCGTCTCCTCCAACTCTGTGCACTTTGCCTGTTGGTGTGACAAGGCATTTAAAAGATGTTCTGACTTTTTTGTTGTTTTTTTTTTTAGTTTCGTA